CCCCCCCAATGTGCCGAATATCGTGACCGTACGTCGAGCGATTAAGATTTGTGCCCAACTATTGACAGACGGACGGACGGACGGACAATCATGCGATTCTACAAGCTGCATCTGACTATGTCAGATGAGCTAAAAATTACTAGTTGTGTAATATTCCTAACATCCTTTGAGCCAGGGCGCTATCGCACGACATTCTCACATTATATTTTCAAAGGTCGCCGAAAAAAGCGGCTCGAGAGGCACGCGTCTGTGGCTGTGCACATCGACGCTCCGTACGTGCCTGCTGGCTGGGGGTGGCATTGATTGAAGTACGGGAGGGGGAGAGCACAATTGTTTCAGTCACGCGGTGCTAATCACTACTAAAATGTAGGGGGTGGGCAAGGGCTGGACTATGAAAGAATGACAACAAAACTCTTTCCTGGAATTGAGGAAAAAGCTACAATCGAGAATGACCCACTAGTGTGCCGGCACGCAAAAATAAACGTCTGAATTTCATTACGATTTTCAATGGATTACCGTTCTATAATCCTATGGATCGTTGGTCCTACGGGTCTACGTAGGCACGCCCGCAGGCACACATTCACACACACACAGGCATGCACGCACGCACGCACACACGCAGGGGGGTCCGGGGGCCTGGTCGAATGGGAATTCTTGCCGAGGTGGCCCCTCAATTGCCAGTAGCAGCAGCGCATCCAAAGCTGACTCACTCAGCCTGTTCCTCATGTAGTTTTGACTATGCGCAATGTAGACAAAACACATGGGCAGCTATGACGCAGCCTATTAGTACATTTCGGGCGACGTCACGCGTGTACACAACAACATTTGAAAACGAAACGCAAGTAGTGCTAGCACTTTGAGAAATAAATGCATAAATACAGGGTGTAAAGTTGTGGAAAGTGTTCAAAAAGATAGGTGAGAGGTCCATGTAGATAAATAAGTGTTAAAAAGCCCGATCATTTTGAATTTTGTAAGCCATTTTTTGTGGAAGCATTGGGGGACAGGTGCAGTCACGAAACCTAGCATAAAATGTTCTATAGCCCTGCGGCAACTGTACGCGTGCTATAGTACTAAAGCTAACATCAGCGTAGCTCTAGTAACTATAGCCCGCGTGCAGTTGCCGCAGGGCTATAAGATCTTCGGTACAAGGATAGAGAGCATGGCGAGATTGAGAACTATGTAGCGTAACACATCGGCTTTGCTCTCACAACCATGCTCTCTATTCGTGAGCCGGATCTTCTAAATTATTTACGGATGCTCGGGACCAACTTAGTAACGGTTACTTGCAGCTATAAAACGTCTGTGATAGGCAATTAATGCTTCTTATCCGAAGTGAATATGTCTCAAGTTATATCCGCAACTAAAATTTAACCTCTAACTATCCATGGATGGGAATGACAATTTGTGTTTTCAGCTGAAAATAGCCGGGGTCCAGCGGGGGGGGGGCGGCCAGGTCAGGCGCGTAAGCCTGGTCAGGAGCGTTCAGGAGTGTTTTGAAATTTGCACAACTTACAAGGCCATAAGATTGCATTGCGAGACATACAGAACAGAATTGTTACAGCAGGATATTACAGTTAACTGCAGGGACTATATCTTGCACTGGCATTATCATAACACTAGATTAATCATCATCAAAATTTACTTACATTTGCAAATCAAAATTATTTTAAGCGTCTTCCACACGGTCCCAAAGGCTAACCTTTATATAATATAGATGTTCATTGTCCAGGCAGTTTTAAATTTGTTTATTCACTACAGCTAGATATTTTTTTGCATATTGCACATTAAGCGGCTTGTCCTGTGCCCCAAGGCAAGTCTGTGAACCCACAGTGATCAGACATCAGGAAAGGAACGCTTTATTTGCTACGCCAAAGGTTGCCCAAAATGCTCCTTGCGACACATATATATTCCTAACCCTTGGGCTAGGCGCGATAGCGCGAATTACTTTTATTTATGTTTTCAAAGGTCACCGGAAGGCAAGCTCGCGACACCCTTCATGGTTATTGTAATCTATGTTTCATAACAGAACTTCGTTGGGAGAAAAAGTGGAAACAGTTTGTAGCTCGTTTCCTACACGTGAAAACAGTCAGGCCGAGCCTGGGCGGCTTACTATAATCGCAGACCTCATTTCAGGCCGCGTGACGCGGGCGGGCTTTTGATTGTACACGATCGATCGCATCGCGTACTACATCGGCCTGCGTACACCGCCGGCATAACAGACACCACACTTTTGGCAGCGGTCAATAACGCACATGGCCAACGTTGGGCACATTCTCAAACAGTGAAACTAGCTGTGCTCTAATATTGTAAGCAAACTATATTACAATGTTATTAATGAAGTACTGTTGGCTGTACAATAATGACATTTGTACATTTAACTGTTTCTTTGTTAACTGAATGTATGCGCGTGTCATGCGCAGTTGGTGTTTGTATAATAAACGCCACTAGTTGTACGTGGCTCCAGCTAGCCAGACGTCTTGTCTTGTTTGTCCACGTAGAACAGAACATGGTGTCAGAATAAGTACGAACTCGCCTTGAGTGATAGGAATGACCATAGGCATAGTTCTCAAGAAAGAGCATGCAGAGCTGCAAGTGCAAGAAGAGTCAGTAAAGAAGTAGGACGCTCTATTAACGATCTATTATTGTGAGTAAGTGTGTACTCTATCCAGTCACGCCATGGAGCTAGCTGGGATTCCCGTGCCTAAGATGGAGTGGGACTCGTCTAACCTGCCCGAAGCGTTTAAACGGTTTAAGCAGCACATTGAGCTCGTGTTTGATGGCCCGTTGACGGATAAAGATGAGGCAGTGAAATGCAAGTATTTCATGCTGTGGATTGGAGACAGAGGGAGAGAGATTGACAACACATGGAGCGTTTCGGAAGACGATGCGAAAAAACTATCTACCTACTACGAGAGTTTCCAGTCGTACATGCAGCCGAAATTAAACCCGATATTTGCAAGGTACAAGTTTAATAACGAGGTTCAGCGAGAGCAGTCAGTAGAGCAGTTCATAACCAGGCTTCGAGTTCTCGGAAAAGATTGCAATTACAGCGATCTGGATGAAATGATACGGGACCGAATTGTATTTGGTATCTCGAACAGTAAGGTCAGAGAGAAGCTGGTGAACGAGGGAGAAAAACTGACTATGGAGAAGGCAGTCACTATTGCGCAGCAATTCGAGTATGCACAGGAGCAGATGAGGTCAATGTCAGCGACAGCAATCCCAGCGGTATCACATTCGGTGAGAGCAGCGCAACATAGGCAGTACGTGGCGAGCAGACAGCAACCGCAACCGAAACCGAAACCGAGAGCAGAACAGAGAGCGAAACTGCCGTTCGCGCCAAGACTTGATCACGTGCCAGGAAAGAAGTGTGGGAA